TACAGGTTGTGAGGCCTGAAGAAGGACAGGGCTGTAAATTGCACTGAATAATCTTAGAGATGGCTATTTCTGTTCAAAACGCTATAAAGACGCAAAACACGCCATATAACTGAGCCATGTATTATATACAAATGCACAAAACAGTTAAAACTATATACGATTAAATGCAGGCTTAAACGAGAAGCACACCTGTGCAGATTTTGTGTCGCTATAAGCCACATATATGGCCACATATGCTGCGTGACTGTCACCGTCACAGCCATGTAGGAGGTTGTGAAGCTAAAAAACTGCAATTTTCAGGAAACTGTTCCTCCGACCTGACATAATTGAGGCAATTATTGACCTAGAAATATGACACTGGCTTACCATAGCGAGGTTTCAAGTGACCAATCTGCTGGTGATTGCCATTAACATCTATTCATGAGTTTGGAAACAGCTGGGTGATCGCAACGACTCGCTCTACGAGCCCGCGTTACGAAAAACTTGGAATCGAGGCGAGAGTTGAAAACCGTATGTCTTAGAAACGGTAATCTTATAATTATGCCATCCACGGCATATTGCAGCCTATTTTTGTCCTGCTATAGATGCCAAGTATCTATGAAAGATTGCCTATGTTTCCAGAATAGCCTAACGTATGAAGGAGGTTGCATGGCAGAAACAGTGGCAGTACTTACAGTTGTGATGTGATACAGGATTAAATGTGCTTAAAAGTAGTTAAAAAAAAAACATTTGTTTCCAGACATCACAGCTATTAATGTGCTGTCAACCAGTTATGTTTATGGCATGTAGCTTTTTAAGACGAATTACTTCTCACTGAACATGTTACAAAAAGTTGCACAATATTCGTAGTTATCAAGGAGATAAAACCTGTAATCGAATAATCAAGAATAACGCGACTACCGAGCGGATGGTTATGGGAACTCAGCACCCTGGCTAAACCCGCCATCAGACCACAGAAAACCCACAGTTTTATTTGAACATAAACCACTTAATTATCGAAGACTGAAGCCCGCCAATGAATAAAAAAACACACTCTTAGTGTAAGACACTTCTTTAGATTTCAAATAAGGGTGAGACCACTGCACCACAGCAATGCGAATCAAATAAATGCACGACAAATAGTCAGCCAACTCACTTAACGCTTTCGCTCTCTCTCTCTCTCTCTCTCTCTCTCTCTCTCTCTCTCTCTCTCTCTCTCTCTCTCTCTCTCTCTCTTCTCTCTCTCTCTCTCTCTCCTTCTCTCCCTCTCTCTCTCTCTCTCTCTTCCCTCTCTCTCTCTCTCTCTCTCTCTCTCTTCTCTCTCTCTCTCCTCTCTCTCTCTCTCTCCTCTCTCTCTCTCTCTCTCTCTCTCTCCTCTCTTCTCTCTCCCTCTCCTCCTCTTCTCTCTCTCCTCTCTCTCTCCTCGCTCTCTCTTTCTCTTCTCTCTCTCTCTCTTCTTTCTCTCTCTCCTCTCTCTCTTTTTCTCTCTCTCTCCTCTCTCTCTCTCTCCTCTCTCTCTCTCTCTTCTCTCTCTCTCTCTCTCTCTCTTTCTCTTCTCCGCTCTCTCGTACTTTCGTCATACGATAGGACAGTGGAGAGGAATGGGCACATGGACGCACCATGGACCAGTGTCTGGATGATCCCTTTTTCACGAAATAAAAACTTGTCGTTTTGCTGTTGCTCCCAGTGCTATCATAAGGCAGGACAACACAAATTCACTCTTTCTCATGGTTGTGTATTTTCCAGTGATGTCGCAAGGAACAAAAACGTATACCGCCAGTGTCATTCACAGACACGACAATGAAAGTATGGGGATGATTCAGTACCACACTGTGCGGCATATTTACACAAGAGCCGTTAGCGCAAAGAGGCAGAACAGTAAAGTGCTCCATTCCGCGCTGGTCAACAGTTCACACAGGTCAAAGGTGATCTAGGCAGTCGGAGCCACCGGCAGGTGATCGCCCTGAGCCTGGAAGCCGTTCTCGTCGGCCACCCAGTTGACGGTGTAGGTGACGCCGTCGTCACCGACGAAGCTGTAGGCCACGCATCACAGTGCCGACCTCTTCGCCGATCTGCTTCGACTCGCCGGTGACCTCTGCGTTTGTGCCGTCGCT